ATCATTGTTGTTTGGCGGGCCCGGGCTGGGGATTCGAACCTGCCACCTTAGGTGTATGTGGCTGGCACCTTAGCCGCTTGAGCCACAGGCACCGAGCCCATTCATTCATTTTTGAGACAGAGTCTCACTTTGTTGGTCTTGGTAGAGTACTGTGGCATCCTAGCTCACAGCAACCTCAAACTCCTTGGCTCAAGCCATTCTTTTGCTTCAGCCTCCCAGGTAGTTGGGACTACAGGTGCCAGCCACAATGCCCAGCTTTTCAGCTGTTTTTAGAGACAGGATCTTGCTCATGCTCAGGCTGGTCTCCAACTTGTGAGCTCAGGCAATCCACATACCTTGGCCTCGCAAATGCTGGGATTATGGGTATGAGCCACTGTGCCTGGCCCACGTTTGCTTTTTTTTTTTTTTCTAGATATAGTCTCACTAGGTCACCCTTGGTAGAGTGCTGTGGCATCACAGCTCATAGAAATCTCACTCTTGGGCTTAAGTGATTCTCTTGCCTCAGCCTCCAAAGTAGCTGGGAGTACAGGCGCCCACCACAACACCCAGCTATTTTTTTTGTTGTAGTTGTCATTGTTTAGCAGGCCCAGGCCAGGTTTGAACTCACCAGCCTCACTATATGTGGCCAGTGTGCCCTAACCATTGAACTATGGGCACTAAGCCTGTCTTTTTTTTTTGAGACAGAGTCTCACTCTATCACCCTGGGTAGAGTACAGTAGTGTCTTTGCTCAAAGCAATGTCAAACTCTCAGGCTCAGGCAATCCTCTTACCTTAGCCTCCTGAGTAGCTGGGACGACAGGTACCCACCAAAACGTCTGGTTAATTTTTCTATTTTTAGTAGACACAGGGTTTCACTCTTACTCAAGCTATCTTGAACTCCTGAGGTCAAGCACCCCACCTGCTTCAGCTTCCCAAAGTCGGAGGATGATAGGCGTGAGCCACCATACCCAGCTTTAATTTGTCTTTAATTTCTATGTCTACTTGATTCATATCTTTTCACCAGCAAAAGGTCGAAGGTATTTATAAACTAGATTTCTGTTTCTAATAATTTTGTCACTTTAAAATTACTTTTCAACTGGTCGCAATGGCACATACCTATAATCCTAGCACTCTGGAAACCCGAGGAGGGTAGACTGCTTGAGTTCATGAGTTTGAGACCAGCCTAAGTAAAAGCAAGACTCTCATCTCTACTAATAATAGAAAATCTGAGGCAAGAGTATCACTTGAGCCCAAGAGTTTGACTTGAGATTGCTGTGAGCTATGATGTCACAGCACTCTACCCAGGGTGACAGCTTGAGACTCTGTCTCAAAAAAAAAAATTGTTTTAAAACTTTCGGTAAAGGCTCAGCACCTGTGGTTCAAGTGGCTAAGGTGCCAGTCACATACACCTGAACTGGCGGGTTCGAATCCAGCCTCGGCCCACCAAACAACAATGGCTGCAACCAAAAAATAGCCACGTGTTGTGGCAGTTGCCTGTGGTCCCAGCTACTTGGGAGGCAGAGGCAGGAATATCACTTAAGCCCAGGAGTTGGAGGTTGCTATGAGCTGTGATGCCACAGCACTCTACCCGGGGCGACAGCTTGAGGCTCTGTCTCAAAAAAAAAGAAAAAAAGAAAAAAACTTTCTATAAGTATATCAATACTAGTCATGTGTTGTGGCAGGTGCTTATAGTCCCAGTTACTTGGGAGTGAGGCAAGAGATTCACTTGAGCACAAGAGCTTCAGGTTGCTGTTAGCTATGATGCCATAGCACTCTACCTATGTGACAGAGCAAGACTCTGTCTCAAAAAAAAAAAAAGCCCCCAAACCTCTCTGTAAGTGTATCAATATATGCCTTGTTTGGGGATTAATTGTATGGTATATATTAGTCATTGCTGAATTTCTAAGACCAGAAAACTAATTGGTTAATCAACTGAAGTTAACAACCTTGTATAAAACTATAATCTGGCCAGGTACAGATTATAATCACCAGTACTTTGGGAGGCTAAGGTGAGGGGGGATTGCTTGATGCCAAGAGTTGAAGACCAGATTGGTCAACATATTAACACACACATCTCTACATAAAGAAAAAAAAGCTAGGCTTGGTGGTGCCTAGCTATAGCCTTAGCTACTTGAGGCTGAAGCAGGATTACTTGAGCTCAGGAGTTCCAGGTTGAAGAGAAATGTGATTGCACTGAAGCCAGGATAAGGAGAAGGAGCCTACCTATCTCTTAAACAAGAAAATCCACTGGCATGGGGACCACAGCTACAGCCTGTCCACTGCAAATTAATGATTAAAACAATACAGTTGGTGGGGCATGATTCATGCCTGTAATCCCAGCATTCTGGGAGGCTGAGGCGGGTAGAATGCATGGGCTGACAGGTTCTAGACCAGCCTGAGCAAGAGCAAGACCCCTAGTCTCTAAAAATAGCCAGGTGTTGTGGCAGGAGCCTATAGTCCCAGCTACTTGGGAGGCTAAAGCAAGAGAATCACTTGAACCCAAGAGTTTGAGGATGCTGTTAGTTATGATGTCATAGCACTCTACTGAGAGCAACAAAGTGAGACTGTGTTTAAAGAAAAAAAACAAAGGTGGTGCCTATGGCTCAAAGGAGTAGGACACTGGCCCCATATACTGAGGGTGGTGGGCTTGAACCCAGCCCTGGCCAAACTGCAACGACAAAAAAAAAAAAAATCACATAGCTGGGCGGGCGTTGTGGCGGGTGCCTGTAGTCCCAACTACTCAGGAGGTTGAGGCAAGAGAATCGCTTAAGCTCAAGTGTTTGAGGTTGCTGTGAGCTGTGACACCACAGCACTCTACCCAGGTCGATAGCTTGAGACTCTATCTCAAAAAACAAACAAACAATAACAAAAAAACAGTATAGTTTTGATAGGTGCTCTTCTAGCACTGTGGGAGGCCAAGGTGGGTGGATTGCCTGAAATTATGGGTTGCAGACTATCCTGAGCCAGAGCAAGACCCCTGTCTCTAAAAATAGCCAGGTGACGTGGTGGGCACCTATAGTCCCAGCTACTGGGGAGGCTGAGGCAAGGGGATCACTTAAGCCCAAGAGTTTGAGGTTCCTGTGAGCTATAATGCCACAGAACTTTACCAAGGGTGACAAAGACTCTGTCTCAAAATAAATAAATAGATAAATAAATAAAACAGCACAGTTCTAAAATTTGAGAGAAATTCCGCTTATTGTGAGTCATCTCACAATATCTGAGATAACTTTTTTATTCCTCTAGCGGGAAAAGGCAGTATTAATTAATAGCAATGTATAAATATTATTTCAAGATTTAAATATACCCTTTGGCACCTGAGTCTTCTAATATTTACTATACTATTTAGGGAACACATTAAATCACATGATCATAATTCATCTACCAAAAACTCACCTAAATCAGAACACTTCTGGTTAGTGCCTATGACTCAGCATCATTTGATCAAGTATTACATTATATGGCAGAAGATACTTACTGGGATGTAATGTTGGGACATGTTGTCCCAGTCTGTCATCTTTTAGCATGTGTAGCAATGTTGTTTTTCCTGCATTATCCAATCCAAGAAATACCAGTTTACCAGTTTTCTTATATAATCCTGCAGAATAAGAGCAATGATTATTCAAAGTGATATCAGACACAGATTATTCAAAGGACTTTAAATCAAGTCCACTGACCTTTGGATTTCTTTCTTTCTTTTCTTTCTTTCCTTTTTTTTTTTTTTGAGACAGTCTTACCCTGTTGCCTAAAATAAAGTGCAGTGGATTCAACCTAGCTCAAAGCAACAACTTCAAACTCCTGGGTTCAAGAGATCCTCCTGCCTCAGCCTCCAGATTAGCTGGTATTATAGGGACCTGCCACAATCCCTAGCTAATTTTTTAAAAAATTGTTTTTCGGCTTGGTGCCTATGGCTCAAGTGGCTAAGGCACTAGCCACATACATCTGAGCTGGTGGGTTTGAATCTAGCCCAGGCCTGCCAAACAACAATGATGGCTGCAACCAAAAAATAGCTAGGCGTTGTGGCGGGAGCCTATAGTCCCAGCTACTTGGGAGGCAGAGGCAAGAGAATCACTTGAGCCCAGGAGTTGGAGGTTGCTATGAGCT